GCGGGTTATGCCTTCAGCCACTGGCTGGCCTTGTGTGCTCAGAAACGGTCTGTGCTAAAGGACTTTGCTCCTCGCACTCATAGGATTTTTGCAGCTGCGTTTCCTACCTGCAGATTGACCGCACGACCTCCATCTTCCTGTCCTGCCCTCGTTCGCTGTCCTCCCTCCTCACCTCCTCGTAGGCAAGGACTCGTCAAGTACGCGGCCATGGCTTTCGCAGGCTCAGTCATTCTCAAGGCCATGGGAGTGAGTGAGGAGGAAGAATGAGCAAGGAGGAAGGGGAGGAGAAAGGAGGGGGAGGAGGAGGGCAGCATGATGGCATTTTCTTCCTACAGGTAGAGGCCGTCGGGTTGGATGCGCTTCTTGCAAGTGCTGGCATAGCGGTGAGAGAGTGCGAGGAGAGAGGAGGGGGGAGAGGGAGTGACTTGATAAATGCTCCCCTCCCAGGCGGGTTTTGCTTCCCAGAAGATACTCCAGGTTCCGCCCTCCTCCCCTCCCAACATCAACTGCCCCTTACCTGCTGCTCTAGAATCTCGCGGCCGGCGTCATTCTGCTCCTCTTTCGCCCATTCAAGGTTGGCGACAAGATTTGCGTCAACAACGTCATGGGCTGGGTCACCAAGGTGAAAGTCACTTGTCTCATCGCGCACTTTTCCGAGAGCTCAAGGGCTCTGCTGTTAGATTATGCTCTTCGAGACCACCCTCCTCACTGACGACCGGTTCCCTCTCTTCCCTTCCCATCCTGTGTGACTAGACTGACAGGAGGAAGATAAGCATGCCAAACCACGAGATTTACTCTGGATACATTGACAACCTAACGGTCTTCTCACGCTCTTAGAAACATCTTTGTTGTTCTTCCTAACTTTGTGATACAGGCTGGTGGCATGCGACGAGTTCAGGTGGCGATGCTCGTCGCTGGTCTCCCTACCCCCCCCCCCGCTTCTCCTGCTGCTCACCTTCGCTCTTGCAGGCTCGTCCGACATTGCGGGCACTAGGAAGGCTCTTGAGGAGGTCGCCAGCCCATCAAGCTGCTCATGCTAAACTGCTGCAGGCCATCGCCAAGTTCGCGTACCTTGCAGAGCCCAAGAGGTGAGGAGGAGGGCGAGAAGGGCGAGGGGGCGTCACAAGGCTTGCAGCGACTCGCTGCCTGTGAGGTGCACAAAGAAGAAGCAAGTAAGGGAAGGAGGAAGCAGCCCAAGGGCCGAGCAGGGGGTTCTTGCGAGCCCGTCCAACCTCCAGCATCTGCAGCAGGTGCAAGAGATTGTGAGGAGAAGGGAAAGTGACGCCTGTCAGCTTCTCTTCGGACCCAAGAGAGCATGGGACAAGGCAGAAGAAGAGGAGTGTTGCTGGCGTGACGACTGAGCAGGTGCTGAGAGCCTTCGAGGTCGATGGGGAAGGCAGGAAGGCAAGGAAGACGCGGGGTGAGAGCTGGAGCTTATCTCTCTCCTCAGGCTTCCATGATGGGGGTGCTGGCGGTCGCCATGTCGCTGGACCTGCTCAAGCATACGAAGAATGTGCTGAAACAGGAGCAGAAGATCGCTCAGGTGCTCCTGCTCGCCCACGCGCATGCGCGACATGAACGTCACCTTAGCCGTGCCCTCCATCCGTGATCCTCCTCGACATCGGCGAGAAAGGCGAGGAGCCAGCGATGTCTCCGATCACTCCAGCCTGACCTCACGCCTGGCAGGCTACTTGTGGAGGGTTCATGTGTGGGTGCCGGCACTAGAGCATGACCGCTGGTGAGTTTTCATGCTTGCAGCTGCAGGGCATTCAGCGATGCACAGGTTTGTTGAGGTGACGGAGGAGATTGCAAGAACTCTGCAGCATCGCAAGATCAAGTTAGCGTCGCAAGCCATGGAGCGAAACCGTTCTTGACCTCATGGGGCGTCAGCTGCAGCGCGTCTGACCATCTCCCTCCTCCCACCATCGCCCTCCCCGCTCCCAGATATAGAACTTATTTCTATTTGGAGTCCCTACGGGTGGGTAGTTTGACCCACCCCTCAATTAAAGGGTAGTTTACCCCTGGATGATAGGGTATCTTGGAGCTGGAGAGGGTGGGTAGCCGACATGATGATGAAGCGAACAAACATGCACTGACAGGGATGAAGGAAAGATGCGAAGAGAGAACAAGAGAGAACAAGAGAGACGAGGAACAGAGAGTGAATCAGAGAAGACTGGAGAAGAGGAGACAAGAGGAGAGAACTTGACGAGGTAGAGGTGCATTGCACAGCAGTAGGTAGGAGATGAAGACGATTAGGATGGGAATAGCAAGTCACGATTGTCGGGGAAATGGCACGACTTGCAACGAACTTAATTGATTCTCTAACATTCATCGCCTTCTACAGTGGGAGAAACGAGTATGGCTGCTCCATCTGATCTCTCCGTGGCGTATGAAACAGAAGCCAAGGCAGGAGATGGCGGGGTGGAGTACCAGGTGATTGTTGTTAACCCAGAGAAGCACGGACAGGGCATTGGTGCCTACCTAACATATGAGCTGAGAACAAGAATGAAAGGAGGAGCATTTGGTGAAAGAGAGTTCGCTGTCAGAAGGAAGTACAACGACTTCATCTGGCTGCGCAACGTGTTGGCTGCTGATTACCCTCACTTTCTCGTTCCTGTCCTCGCGGAGAAGGAGAAGCTTCCTGCTCAAGCGAGCCATGAGGAGCAGGTCATCCGACGGCGGTGCGAGCAGCTGCAGAGCTTCATGAATCGGGTATGCAACCATCATGTACTCTCACAGTCGAAAGATCTCCTCCTCTTCCTGGAAACCAAAGTTTGGGCGCTGGAGAGCACGCAAGCAGCTTATTCAAACCAAGTGGGAAAGATGCTGCACCTGCTTCGACGAGACGCTGATGGCGCATGGAAGAAGATCCGAGGACAGTTCCAGGAGCTCGAAGACCCTGAGCAAGACCGACACCAGAACCTCCTCGCCTATACGACCAAACTTGAGGAGCAGACCAGCCTTCTGCTTGAAACTGCAAGGAGGCTCACAAAGCGTCAGGAGGGTTTGGGCAACGATCTGGCCGACATGTCTCCGACATTGGAAGTGCTTTCGCAGTCAGAGGATGAAGTCGCGGGTGTCTTGGCTGAAGCGGCTAAAAGTTTCCGCGCATCGTCCGATCGAGTGAAGCAGCAGGCAGGAGCGGACGAGCTATACTTTGTCGAGCGGTTGAGGGACCTCGTGCTGTGGTCGACAGCAGCCAAGGAGCTGCTGAAGAATCGAGAAGCCGCCATGTGCGACGTGGTCGCATTAAGAGAGTCTAAGATGAAGATTGAGAGAGAGTTTGAGCAAGTGAAACAGAACATGCAGAGCACAAAGCCAAAGACGGCGATGGAGATCTTCAAAGAAACCTTAACGCTCGAGAGCCCCAAGGAGCAGATCCGCAAGCTGGAGGAGCAGAAGAAGGAGTGCGAAGCAGCTTCGGTGAAAGCCGAGGGCAGGTGGAAGCAGGCAACAAAGGTGACGTCGCAGGAGATGCAGAGGTTTCACAACCTGCGCGTGTGGGAAGTGAGGGAGACGCTGAGAGGCTTCTGCGAGTCTCAAATTCAATTCCACGAGGACATGGCGAGGACTTGGCAGAGCTTGCTTCCCAAGGTGACCCGACCCCACTGCTCTCCTCTTCTCCCCTCACTGCTCTCCTCTTCTCCCCTCACTGCTGTCCTCGTCTCCCCTCACTGCTCCCCTGCTCACCCCTCACTGCTCTACTCCAGCTCGAAGCGCTTCCTCTCAACGACTTGGAAAGCGGGTCACAGGTGACAACTTCGCACTTCACCACTGAATCGCAGGAGCTCTCGAGGGGGGAGGAAGGCATTGACCTGAGGCTTGCTGGAGAAGATCTCAAGGACCTTGAGGATTAACTTCAATGTTTCTAAACTTTACTCCTCTGCAAGTCAGCACGCCAACAGTCCAGGAGCTTAACTTCAAGTTGCCCCTGGAGATTTCTCGAAACTCTCCAGCTGACCTCGAGAGCTTCCGATGCGGATCAGCTTCACCTGCTCCAGCACTTCACGCTAGTTCACCACCTTCACCTCTCACCTCATGCGTCTGCCCTCGCCGCCGGAGAACAAGATTACAGGCTGACCCCTCGTCTCCTACAGTGAGCTGCTTGATATCGTCCAAGTCCCAGTTGTCGACATTCTAGAGCGTTAACTGTCAACCCACACAAAACTTCATCTACAACTTCATCTACAGCTTCATCTACAGCTTCATCTACAACTTTCTCCAGCAGCACCTGGTTGTCGATGGTGACTATGATGTCGTCAACTTGCACTTCGCCTGATTCAGCGCCAGCAAAGCCTGCAGAAGTCTCACGGGAGGACCACTTGGCTTGTCAGCTCACCAGGAAGGAGCGCATGGATGTACGTCTCTCCCTGACATATCTTTCAGAGCTTGCACAAGCCATACTCCCACGCAAGCAAGTACTTGAGAGTTTCTCTTGAGCAAGATTCCGAGACCAACTTTCTTTGTCTTGAAGAGAACTCCGGCATTCTGCATGAGTTAGAATGGAATCACAATTTTGATTAAGATCTGACATTGGAAAGCACTCTTCTTGGTTGGCTGTACGACAGCATGTATCCACTGTTCCTCTCAAGCTGTGCAATCTGCATCAGCAACAAAAGAGCTTCCTACAACAATTTCAACCTGGCCGGTGCTGTCCATGACGAATCCGACATTTTGAATGAACGACTGCACCCTCTTAGATCAAATCATTTTCATGAGCAGAACCTGTTGAATCTTCTCCTTCCCCTTGCAGACAAGCCTTTCCACTGGGACCTCCACTGAACCCCAAGATCAGACATGAGCAACGAGCCGATGTAGCGTTGCAACCATTCCTATCCTTGTAGATGATGTTGTCTTGATACACGATTCTCTCTTGGTTCACTACTTTGTCAACTTGTCGCTCTATGATTCTTTCAACAGTTCTCTCCACAGGAACCTGGTAACAGGCTCAGTCGTGGCACCACTCCCATGACGTGTACCTCAACATCTCGAATGATGATCTTTTCGATGGGAACAGGAATCTCTTGTACAACAACCTTCTCCACCGGCACGTCTTGCATCTGACAAGAGTGAGGGAGAAAACCAAACAACATTTGACCGAAGGCACCACTATCTGCTCAATGATTCTGTCGATTGGGATGGGAACTTCTTTTACTAGAATCCTGTCAACCTATCCCACCAATGATCAGCTGCAACAAATTGAGAAGCTGACAAACCGGAACACTGATTTCTTGAATGTTCAAGCGATCGACCGGAACCTCTTTAATCTCATCCTTCACGATAATGTTCTCAACCGGAACGTCGTAAGGCACCTACAACCAAATATTCCTCCTTCAGATTTGAATGGCAAAACCCACTGAATGAATTATGTACTGTACTCACTTGTTTTTCTTGGACGTCAATCTTTTCCACAGCAACAGGTTCCTGGCCGTCAACTTAGAGCACAAACTCGTGTGTTCACAAGCTTCACTACCTCGCGTAGGTTGATGCGTTGAACCTCGACATCAACATCTTTGACTCTTACGTTCTCGACATACAAGGTTTCATGCCTTTATGCTGAATTAAACCATATCCATAGCAATAGAAAAGAAGGTCTTGCCTGTTGACAATTCGGTCCTGTTGAACAGGAATCCTCCTGAAGACGGGTTCTTCATTTTCGATGACAATTTTTCTTTGTTCTTGCTGGACTGAGAATGACGAAGAATCAGTGGAGAAACAGAGACAACTCGATGCGAACCATGCACTGGTTGCATGTAAGTGACTTCTTCCCTTGGAATCCGTACCATCGGTGCTTCCTCACGAACAATTGAAACAGGGGAGAGCTGGCAAATCTCTTCAATACACACAAAGTAATGCCTCCTGTGTTCATGACCTGCACAGCTGAAGTTTGAATTGTTTGAAGATTCTGAGAGCATGCAAACATCAGGCTTTGAAAATTCTGAAAGATACCAAGGTGTAGACCTGACTTTGAATCGGAACAATCCCAGTGACCTTGCGGTAGCATTACTCACCTCATGTGAAAGTGAGGCTGCATACCTGCTGGACTGGATAGAGGAGCTGGTTGGAAGGCGATGAGTGCAACTGAACGCTTTGCACCTGTCAAGGATCAAGTGATCATTCAGCTCACTCAGTCGAAGTCACGGAGTTGAATACCTGCGAGACTGCTTGATTCGTGTTGGTGTAGGTGACCATCGCGTTGGCTGCTTCATCTCTCAGCGTTGAGTTCGGACAGCAACGAGCTCTTACTCTTCATCGGCGAGGAATAAACCGCGACACTGGATTCATTCAAAAGCGGCGGGGCCTCGAAGTTGTCGGTGGAGTCATATGGCATCTGGATCAA